TCAAAAGGGACCCCGGTACGTGAAAAATCTGCCGCGAAAGAAAGTTGGTGAAGAGAAGTGAGCTAAAGCAAAGAAGGCAATGTCTGCACGCTGAAACCGCACAGCTGGCTTGCTTGTCTGAGTTCAGTCATTGCACAAACCGCTTCAAGAACGTTTTGACCCTGGCTTGCGATGTCTTGTATCGATGCGCTCAGCCTTTTTTTTTCTGTGTGTTTAGCTTGTACCTCGCCTGCCGGCCTGGCAAGCACGCGCCGCTGGACTGAATTTTGTTGTTTGCTGGACAGTTAGATTTTGCATACAATTTTGAGAACCAGTGGGCGACGGAGTGGAGTGACATGGTTTCGGTTTCGATTGAACAGCCGTCTCCGCTCGCGTGACGAAGCACGTGCAACTGCAAGCCTGCTGAAGTTGCCCTCATGTGCATGCAAACATGATTGCACGACAGAGGCATCAGCCGTGACGCTTGCAATCCATTTCTTTACGTTTACTTACTTTTGAAGCACGTGCAACTGCAAGCTGCCGAAGTTGCCCTCACGTGCATGCGAACATGATTGCACGACAGAGGCATCAGCCGTGACGCTTGCAATCCATTTCTTTACGTTTGTTTACTTTTGACAAAAAGCTGACACGTTTGGAACCAGTAAGGCGGTGGCAAGCGGTTTTTCGGAATTGCTCGGCAACGCCTACGGCACTATACACTCCGTGCGGGAACTATAGGGGGCGCTCTGAAAAACGCGCGCAGCGCCGCTAGCGAAGGAGCTGGCGTTCGACTGTGAGGCGCGTTCAGCAGCCTGCGGCGCCTTTTCGCATGCCAAGCTGTGGCGGCGGAAGCGCGCACGGACGAAACTTTTTGCTTTTTGAGCCGATAAGTTGAGGGTGACGTTGCATGAGTGCTGGGGCAGAAGGGCATTTAGCTGTTCTCCACTTCTTATATATTGAGTTTGAGTCGTTATTAGGGGTAATTTCTCTAGTTGCGGCCGAAAAAGGAGTAGGAGCAATTTTCCGAAAAACAGGACGGCCGCCACCTTAATTGCTCTGAGTGGGAAATTTACTTCGCTCGTCGCTGTAAACCTATGACTGCTGGAACGATGATATTTGGAGGCGAGTGAGACGTTCACTAAGTTTGTGCACGAAGAGTGCCAAGTTTCTTTAAGACAGCAGGTAAAAGTTAGGTTTCTAACGAATAAAGAAATAAAACTGTACGGGATATCCAATATTGGACCCAAAATGTTGTGTTATAGCGTGCTGTGCAAAGTGCAGATTTGAGCACACAGGTGCTTAGACTTGACAGTAACATGACACAGCACTTATTATACAAAAAAGAAAAGTGGCATAGGAAAACCAGTTGAACATTTGGTTTTGGCGGCGTAACTCAATGGGAACCGGTTTTGACCATGAAAAGGCTGTCAAGAGAATACCACTGGTCGGGGGAGGTGGAGACTTTAGAGGTAGGAAGGGACTAGTGGACTGTACTTTCAATTGAAACAACTTTACGAAAAGTGGTTCCAAAGCCGAGGAAACAAAGTTGTCGGCCAAAACACGGTTTGGCCGCCAAGGGCTTTTGCGGTCAGCTGTTGAGTAGTAACCTGTTGTGCGAGGTGCTGGGGGAAGGGGGAGGGGGGATTTTCGGCGCACAGGTACTTTGACATGACCGTCACTTGGCACAACACTTATTATAACAAAAAGAATTGGCATAGCTAAACCACGTGGAAATTTAGTGACTAAATGGGACCTGGCTTTGACCGTCAAAGGCTGTCAGATAATACCACTCATCGTAGGAGGTGCACACTTTACAGGTAGGAAGGAACCAATGGACGGTACTTCCAGTTCGAACCACTTTGCGACAGGTGGCTTTAAAGTCGAGAAAACAAAATTGTTGTCTACAGAACTCGGGGTGTCAGCGTTTCCACATCCAAAAGGAGGCTTATCAAGAAAGAAAGCACACCACATAAACTTCCATACTCAAATGTCGATTCTCCAGTGATTCCGATTTTCATTGTTGTTTTCTCTAGATTTATATTTGTCCCTTTTTTTACCGTTCGAATCTTTCTTCATGAAGTACAGATTGCGTGCCATACTTGTCCGCAAATATCATCGACACGTACGATGGGGACTGAACTTCTTTGGAGGGCATTCCTCCAACGAATTTGGCACTGCATACCCGCGAGTGTGGGACAGCATTTCAGTTCGTCCCATCGGCGCTGACACATGTAGGCGTTACTGGTACGAAAACAAACGCAGAGCGCAAAGCGGCAGTGTGGAATATGTCAGCCGTGCCGACACAGTGGCAGACATGATCGGGAGACCAAATTTCTCGCGTCGTACGGCACGGCTCCATCGTTGTCGCTGTCCCACAAAACACCGGCGAGGTGAAAAGCTGAAACTTTGTCTCCACGAGATACGACCCATAACTATTGAACCGCTTAATGACGTAGCACAGGCAGCACTTCATGCTGTGAACCCGGCGCAACCGCACCACTCCGACTTCAATGCGTACCAACGTACGCGGCGTGGTTTCGGTTTCGTTTTCTCTGGGCTTCTCACTGCCTACCTTCGGTACCGGCCGCCTGGCGGCGCGCCAGTCGCGTCGCACGGAGTGCATACACTCGTGGGATGTCTTAATCTCTCTTTGGAGACATTGAAAGTGGACATTCATTACTTGCCGAAGGCAAAGTGAGGCTTCCAGCAGCTTTGCAGAAAGTTTTGAAAAACAAAGAAAAGCACCTGCTAGTCGTAATGCACCCTTGTGTACAATTTCAGATTGCACTGCTGTAGATACGTGTTTCATCAGTCGGAGAGTGCTTCAATTTATTATATAACTAGTCAACCTAATGCTGTGGTGTTTACTACGAAGCAGCTTATTTTCAAATAAATTTTAATATGTGCAGTTTGGTTCCGATTTATTTGTAGTGGGTAAACAATGCATATACATATATGTATCATTTAACTGAAGCATTGCAAAATGTATCATGTCACTGGCGTTTCAGTTAACATGTTGAAAGACTCCCGTGGTATAACCTGATTATAATTTGTTTATTGCGGTGAGCAAAGTGCTTTTATTTGCCCAGCACTTAAAACAAATAATTTTTTTTCCAAGAATATCTGCTTTAAAAGCCACTTTTGCTGCTCCAAAAGCCACGTTTACTGCTCTAAAACACTGTTTTGGCTGCTCCAAAGGCCACTTTTGCTGCTTTAAAACACTGTTTTGGCTGCTCCGAAAGGTGCTCCAAAATGGCTTAGGCCAATCGCATCACTGTATTCTGCACTCGCTTGGAAGAGTCGTTTTCTGGTTTGAGTAGGCTCGTTTGATTTCCCTAAACCTCCTGCACCGGTGCAGAAAAGTGTAGGGCAGTGCATTTCCAGTATGTGTTTTGAGATAGGACCGGAAGTACACCACCCCACACTTTTCTGCACCAGTGCAGGAAGTGCAGGTAAATCGAACAAGCGTAGTGACTGGTAGGTACTAGTGTCCCCCCCCCCATCATTTATCGTGTGAAAATAAATGCTTCCTTTGATTTCGTTCACCCTGCCTTTAAAGCTCATTATTGGCTGCCATCTTGGTTTTTACTCATTTGACCATCTCTAGATTAACCCAGTTTTCAGTCAAAGTGGGCAATTCCCTGGTATTTTATGGTAGTTTCATTTTGTGGCGGGAATATGTCACGTGTTCCAGGAGTACTGACTGAATTTTAATCGAAGCACTTCATTCACAAATAGATTAAACGGTCACTGAGCTATTAGTATTTTTGTCACTGTGCATCAGTAATAAGAGAGAAAAATAATGCACGTGTAACATTTGTCACCTATTATTTGTTGCCGGTGCTGAGGGCGATACACATACTGCAAACACTTCATTTTTAAAAGATGTTGCATACTTTAAGAGTGTGCATTAATTGTACGCAAGAATTGGGTTTACCGCAACAGTACCGCAACCTCACTCGTAACTGAAAAGGACTACTCGGGTTGTCCCAAAACCAACATCCACTAAAATGGCAAAAAAACGCTCTCATGCAGAAAGAGTTTCTGAAGTCAATGTGTGCAGCCCAGAGTTAAGCAAAAAGTTAACACTGCATTTGTGTTAAACACAGAGTATATGGCGTGTTGCGACTCTGCAGCAATACCGAAATATAACGGAAAGGGGGGGTGCTGGCTGGCTGGCTTCAGCTCTAGTTTAAAACTGCCATTGAAGGGAGTTTGCTTATCTTGATCTTCGGTAGGCAGGGTTTGTTTTCTGGGGCTAATCACTTTATTGACTGTGGTTATTCGTAGTCAAGCAGCAGCAGATGCTGTTTATTTTCAATTTGTACGCCTGGAATCCGGCCACTATTTTTGCGGTTGTGAAGTGTCACTAGAGCTTATCTCTGTGAATCGAAGCAGCAGCTTTGTTCTTTCCTAGGGCTCTAGGGTTGTCACCCCACCACCCTTAGGAACGCTATGGAAGAGGGATTGCACAGAGTCACTGAAGCTAGCAATACCTCCCTGCCCAGAATGCTCTCATTTCGGCTTTCCAACCTTGCAAACATTAGGGACTGCAAGCATATCTGCTACATCCGATTCGTGAAATTCGGGGACTGCCAGAATGGAAGGTTTTGCGTTTAGCCACTTCTCTCTCGCTTGATACTCGAGGTTGTTTCGGTTTTATATACTGCAGTTATGTAAATAAATTCTGTAAAAAATTGGGCTGCTCATAAAACCAAGAACACACACACTAAAAAAACAAAAAAGACAAAAAAAAAACCCTGATACTTTTTTAATATTTTCAGTGCTCCTTTAAAATCTGAGGTGTCATTCTTCTGGATCAGTGTGTGAATTGAAAATGCTGAGTTTAGTATCCTTTACCCAGAGAAAGTGATAATTAGAGTATGCTCTATTCAGATGTCAGTTTGGACTTCTTTCTTTTTTTAGAGTTGTCAAATCTTGGGGCCATCCCAGAACTTGTTTTCTGAAGTGGTGGAAGGTGCAGGAACTGACCTTTGATGTTTCCTGTCTTTTTGCTTTAGTATGCAGACCCAGTGGCTGATTTGTTGGACAAGTGGGGTGTTTTCCGGTCCAGGTTATTTAGGGAGTCCTGTGTTTTCTACCGTGGGAACTACGTCAAGGTGAGTGACTCAAATAACAACTGCTACCTGGTTTCACTCGTTAGTAGAGGGTTATTGTTTATTACTCTGAAGAAATGTCCATTCTAACTTCCCTTCGTAGAGGCTATTCCCGTGTCCACAATGATTGCCCAATGTATTCCTGAAAACATCTGGGCCTAGAAGTTAGATCTGAGCTGGGACACTGAACTGGCACATTGAGTTTTTGCATGTTGGTGTCCCTGCACAGATTGCCGTTTTGTACCTAAATGCTTTTGGTCTTTGACCATGCACTAGTCCCTCCATCTCTTGCAGTGATTGACTCTCTGCAAGGTTTGCTAAGTATGTAAATGTGAAAACTTTTTTTTAAAGATATGTGTGGACTTTGACCATGCACTAGTCTCCCTCCATCTATTGCAGTGATCGACTCTGCAACTCTCTGCAAGGTTTGCTAAAATGTGAATTTGAACACTTTTTTTTTTTTTTAAGATGCGTGTGGACTTTGACCATGCGCTAGTCTCCCTCCATCTATTGGAGTGATTGACTCTGCAAGGTTTGCTCAAATGTAAATGTGAAAAATTTTTTTCTTAAGATGCGTGTGGATTTTGACCATGCACTAGTCTCCCTTCATCTCTTGCAGTGATTGACTCTCTGCAAGGTTTGCTAAGTATGTAAATGTGAAAACTTTTTTTTAAAGATATGTGTGGACTTTGACCATGCACTAGTCTCCCTCCATCTATTGCAGTGATCGACTCTGCAACTCTCTGCAAGGTTTGCTAAAATGTGAATTTGAACACTTTTTTTTTTTTTTTTTTTTTTAAGATGCGTGTGGACTTTGACCATGCGCTAGTCTCCCTCCATCTATTGGAGTGATTGACTCTGCAAGGTTTGCTCAAATGTAAATGTGAAAAATTTTTTTCTTAAGATGCGTGTGGATTTTGACCATGCACTAGTCTCCCTTCATCTCTTGCAGTGATTGACTCTCTGCAATGTTTGCTAAGTATGTAAATGTGAAAACTTTTTTTTAAAGATATGTGTGGACTTTGACCATGCACTAGTCTCCCTTCATCTATTGCAGTGAACGACTCTCTGCAACTCTCTGCAAGGTTTGCTAAAATGTAAATGTGAACACTTTTTTTTTTTTTAAGATGCGTGTGGACTTTGACCATGCGCTAGTCTCCCTTCATCTTTTGCAGTGATTGACTCTGCAAGGTTTGCTCAAATGTAAATGTGAAAACTTTTTTTCTTAAGATGCGTGTGGATTTTGACCATGCACTATACTTCGTTTCAGCTTCGGTCCAGACGCAGCCAAAGCTACAAGCGCGAGCTCCGGGCTTTCAGCATCCCTGCCAAGTACGCGCGCTCGTGCAGTGCAAACACTGTTCTGGGCCACATGCTCGCGCTTGTAGCATCGGCTGCGTCTGGACCGAAGCTGAAACGAAGTATAGTCCCCCTTTATCTCTTGCAGTGATTGACTCTCTGCAAGGTTTGCTAAGTATGTAAATGTGAAAACTTTTTTTTAAAGATATGTGTGGACTTTGACCATGCACTAGTCTCCCTCCATCTATTGCAGTGATCGACTCTCTGCAACTCTGGTTTGCTAAAATGTAAATGTGAACACTTTTTTTTTTTTTAAGATGCGTGTGGACTTTGACCATGCGCTAGTCTCCCTTCATCTCTTGCAGTGATTGACTCTGCAAGGTTTGCTCAAATGTAAATGTGAAAACTTTTTTTCTTAAGATGCGTGTGGATTTTGACCATGCACTAGTCTCCCTTCATCTCTTGCAGTGATTGATTCTCTGCAAGGTTTGCTAAGTATGTAAATGTGAAAACTTTTTTTTTCTTAAGATGCGTGTGGATTTTGACCATGCACTAGTCTCCCTCCATCTCTTGCAGTGATTGACTCTCTGCAAGGTTTGCTAAAATTTAAATGTGGAAACTTTTTTTTTTAAGGTGCGTGTAGCATTTATATTTTGTGGTGCTCTAGAAGTAGGCCAATTTTGAGACATCATTTATAGACAAGTGAGTAGAAAAGGCATTTTAGGTTTCTGAACCCGGAAGAAAGGCGTAAAAGTGATGAGATAATTGGCAGCAACCTCATCTTGAGTGTAGCAGAGTTGAGGTATTGTAATTTGAAAAGCTGATGAATGATGTTGCCCTGATCCTACCACATGCCTGAAACCAGAACTAACGAGTTTTGGATAAATTCTTTTGCTATTTTCTATAGACTTGTTCTTCTACTCGTGAAATCCTTTGTGCATATAGACGCTTTACACACGCGCCAAATCACAGCCGCCATTGCTGACCTTCTTTTGTCTTTCCGAGATGCCGAGCAACTGAAACAGTAGTTGACGATCCTCTACAAAGGCCGATGCTTTAGAAAAGGACACAGTTGAATCTAATGTGGCAATAACCTGGCCTGCTATGGTAATGATGAAGTGAAAGAAACAATATAAGAGGAAACAAAAACTGAAGGTCAGTTATGGCGGTGTCCATGCACAGCTTCTGCAAAGCGTCTATAGATTGGAGCAGTATCTTGAGTGCAGTGTGCTCTGTTCAAGTTGCATGGCCAGCAGTTTCTCTCTTCTCATATGTCTGATCTGGAGGCTCAAGGGGTTGATTCTATACTTTACTTTCCTGTCTTTGCCTTCCTGGATTCTGGGACAGGTTAGCTATAAATAGAGTTTCCTGTTTTTCGAGTTTATTTTTCGTCAGATTTGGAAATTGTTTTCTGGGGTTTATTTTTTTTTTTCTGAAAATTGAGAGTTTATCGGAGTTTATTTTTGTGAAATTCCCTATTCTCAGAAATGCGGAGCTTAATTTTGCAGTGTTTCCTATTTTTCAAAAATAAAAATAAATTATATCCGTGTCCAAACATGGGCTCAATTCAAAAGAATGCGCTTGTATCAAATAACATTTCTTAAGCTGGATTTGGCATTGGCTCCCTTGCCATTGGCAATACTGATCTATCCCATGACAAAACTTGCAAACAGGGGTTGCTTCAATACACATTGATTCCTTAAAAACACAAAAGTTCTCTAGGTAGTCGCTGGGAAGCTCGTTTCCATCCCATCCTATTCCATCACCTTAGCCCGCAGCTGTGCAGAACTGTTCATACATTTCACTCTTGCACAAACACAACCCCTCCTTTCTCTGACAAGCACAAATAGTGTCGCGTCTGCAGTGCCCGCGCTCTTTCTACCCATGTGTGCTGCAGCCTGGAGCGCCACCACGCCAAGGGTGTTTTTCATTTCCGTCACGGCCGGTCGTGCCTGCTCGTTTCTCTCCCCGGGGGCTCAACGGGACAATGCCTTAGAGCTAGCGTTTAGGCCTAGGATTGACAGCACATGGTGTCAGAAGTTGGGCCTCGAGTGAATTGCCAGTACTTGCCGAAAGTATGCGAACATGCCCGACGAGCTCCCCGCTCCTGTCACGTCGGCATTGTCAGGGTTCGCCGTGTGCCCACCTAACCCGTTCAACTTCCAAAAGGAAGCAGACTGGCCTGACTGGATCCAGGAGTTGTAAGACTACAGACTGGCATCCGGACTCGGCCCCGAACACGTGCAAGTGTGCACCCTTCTCTGTACTGTGGGACGCCAGGCAAGGAAAACTCGTTCCGGCTGTGACAAGTTACCAGACTGTTCGAGCGCGATTCAACGACCACTTCAAGCAAGTGCACAATGTGGTCTACGACAGCGCTTGTTTCCACCAGCAGATACAAGAGACTGGAGAAACGGTGGATCAGTACACATCTGCTCTTCAAACGCTAGCGGAGTAATGCGACTTCGGCGACCTCGCAGACCACATGGTGCGCGACCGCCTCATTCTCGGGCTTCGCGACAAGTCTCTCACGGAGTCCCTTCAAATGGACTCCGATCTGACGCTCAAGGCAGCTGTGGCGAAGGCGCGGCTTCGGGAGACTGTCCATCGCCAACAGCAAGTACCTCGCTGCGACAAGACGCTGACGATGCCAACTTGGACGCAGCGTTTTGTGGAAAGAAAGGCAATGCTCCAAGCCGAGCACTACATACACAGCAGCCTTCGAGGTGGCTTGACAGCTCCAAGGGCCATTTGCACACCGGCAGCTTGCCTTGCAACTTTTGCGGGCAGAAGGTCCACGCTCATTCGGAATGCCCGGCATCCGGTGTGAAATGTTTCAACTTTAACAACTACGGACAGTTCGTGAGGGTGTGCAAGAAACCGCAGCAGGGTCACCAAAATAGACTCTCCATTTCGTCAGTCCAGCAGGTTAGCAACACCTGGTTCCTCGACTCTATTGGCAAGCCGGACGGGAACAAGTCGCAGTTCACTGAAGTAACTGTCAACAGTGTGCCCTTGTCAGCGAAGATTGACCCCGGCGGTGAAGTATCGGCAGTGCCAGCGTCATTTTGCGGCGTTCGGCGTCATCTCGGAAAGGCAGAGGAATTTTTGACAGGCCCCAGAGAACAGCGTCTCAACGTCCTGGGAAAATTCTGTGTCGAGCTCCGATGGAACGACAGGGTACTGAGCAGGTGCTTTACGTAGTCAAGATTTTACGTTCTGCTTTGCTTGGTCTCCCAGCGATGGAATCTCTGGGCATAGTCACGTTCGTCGATGGCGTCGCAAGCAGCAGCCCAGAGTGACAACGACGTTTTCCAAAGGAGTTCAAGGGACTTTGAACGTTCCCCGGCACGTACACAATCAAGCTGGATCCAACGGCTGTCCCGTACGCCTCGAGCACAGCCCGTTGACTGCCAGTTCCTTTACGGGATGCAGTGGCAGAAGAATTTAAGAGAATGGAAGAGCAGGAAATCATCCGGCCTGTGAAGAAGCCTACAGCCTGGTGCGCTGGTATTGTTCCTGTGCTGAAGCCATTGGGGCAAGTGTGGCTGTGTGTGGACCTTGCCCAAATGAGCGGTGGAGTGTTGCGAGAGCGCTTCATTTTGCCTATACAGTGTAGACCGCATATAGCGTATGTCGCGGGAGTCGCGAAAATCTGCACTGTAAGCGGTACCGCACTATAACCAAAACAAAAAATTTTCAAG